CACTGTGGGGTCTTCTCTGCTTGTCATTCGTTTTCTCTTTGTTGGTAGCTCATAAGCCTGTTAACTCATATTGATTCCCTTAATTTACAAAGGAAATTGTTACAAGGTTAAATAGTACCGACACAGGATGTTTGCTACATATTTTTAATCTGTGTTTAACCACTCTGAAAAACAGCATTGTGGTGAACTGGACCGTGCATGTAAAACAACCAAACAAAAAAGGAGCTGGTTAGCATTTTAACTGAGCGCGTTCTGATTTTGCATACTCAAATTCAGCTCCAACTTCTTCAAATCCATAATGCAAGATTTTTATGCCTTGATAGCCAACCCCCCCGTCTTTTGCTCTTCTCCAGAAGCTTGCTGTTGGCCACTGGTCTTGGGGGGTGGATGGCACATCAGTGCCAGGGCTCTGCAAGCTGAGGTGATGCACAGAGCACCTGGAAGAAGCATCCCAGCTGCCTCATGCCTCCACAAAGCCATTTAAAAGCAAGTCCTCACAGTGAGGACTTGCCAAATAGGAAAAGATGCAGAGGCAGAGTGTGAAGCTAGACAGGCTTTTAGTCGACGCTGCAGTGGCTCTCCTTGCAGGCTGAGCAAAAATTTGGACTCGGACTTAAAATTTCATTAAAACAGTTATTTGACAGAAACTTGGCATAGCTGCGTCCACAGAGCTGCCTGTGGAAAGCAGATTGGTTTTTTGCTGGAAAAACCTCTGACAAATTCCAGAAGGTACAAATTTGTGTTTTGGAAATGGTGTTCTGGATGGCATTCATTTCTTTTGTCTTTGTTGGACTTGATGGTGGCTCACAAAGATGCAGTCAGAGGGTGTAGCAGATGGTGTTTGATGTCTTTTGAGCCACTTGCACCTCAGACTGGGGCTTGTTGTCTGTCATACATCTCCAAAAAGCCATAGCAGCCATGCAATGTATGTGGTGTGTGCACCATAGTATGTCCTAGGAAAGCCAGCCCACCTGACGGTCTTTGTAACAATAAATTGGAGACTATCAATTTGGCTGGCCAGGACTCCTCCGTAGAGCACAACGAAACCATGCAGCCACAGTTTGATATTAAACTGCTTCAACAGCTTGTCCCATAGTGCTGTTTGCTGTAAGTGAAAGGCTTTGAGTATGTGGGACCGAGATAAAACCACTCCTCTGGCTTCTAGTGAAACCTTCCTCGCTGGCCCTTTGACAAAGAGTACTTGTTTTCATGCGGGTGGCCAAGCAAGCAAACGAGTACCTAAAATAAGATTTGGAGCTATTAGTGTTGGAGGTGCTTTGTCGGCCTCTGGACTGGCTGCCTCCCCGGTGCAGCACAGTCCTATTCTATTCAGGGGACATATTTTCCCTTATTCTGTTGGAAATGTGTTTTTTCCTTAGGGTTTTGTGTTTTGGTGGTGTTTGTGCTTTGATTTGGGGTTTTTTTGTTAGGGTTTGTGGTTTTGGTTGGGTTTTTTTTTTTTCATTATTTATTTTTCCTTTTGCTCCCAGGTTTTTATCTTGATAATTCCAAAGACCTTTCCTTTCTAATTGCCAAAAAATGACACATTTGCTGTAACCAGCAGCCTGCCAGACTTTAGGTGGGCTGTTAAAGCTTTTGGAGTTGATCCCAAAAGCTGTACATCTCTGCAGTTTAGGAATGATGCACTTATATTTTTCTAACAAAAAGGAATGGTGGTCTATTTGCTATATTATCCCATCACCAGAAATGCAATAAAATACCATGAGGCTGTTGCTACAGTCCTTTTTGTTCACAGAACTTCTGTTGAAAGCAAAGGGGGAAATTGGATGGAAGGTGCCGTATTAGGCGTGTGATGTCCGCTTGAGGTTATTTACATATACATTCACCTCAGTAAAAATACATTTCAACTGAAACACAGCAACCAATGTTTAAAAGGCCCCTGAAGGCAATCTTAAAATGAAATGGAGATCAGGTCTGAAGTCCACTGAAAACAGTGGAGAAGCCTGTATGGCTTGAGGGGAGCGCTGGATGGTCCTTGTCCTCCAGTTGCTCTCAGATCCCATAAATACCAGGATGAATTCCTGCTCCTGTTTAAATTCATCCAAGCTGTGCCAGTGAAACTAGAGTTTAATGCCAGATTCAAAAGCAGCTTTTTATGGTAGGATTGCTTCCAGTCCATGAGAGTGAGCGTGGTCAAGACCCTGTTCAACTTCTCCGTTGCATTGAAGGGAGGTGTTGGACTTCTCACCATCCTCATGGGGTTTCAGTTTCAGTTTCTTTTGCTGGAGTTGTTCTGCTTTCTATAAATAACAACTGGAGTTGAAGCTGCAGCTACTGGCCTTGCAACCAAGTTGTCCTAAGTATGGGCTGCTCTTGTTCTATATTGGTTTTGGGGAAACTACTGCTTAAAGAGCTTTGGTATGTGGTCATAAGGAAAGGGGAGGAACATGTGAGCTGGGAAAGTGGCACAGCTGGACTCCTGTCTGCTGTGGGAGTTGCCATCAGAGCCAGTTATTGCTGGGAGAGGTTAAGGAGAGCGTTTTGCAGCTTCCCAGGATACTCTTTTGGGCAAGGTGCCTCAAGGCTGCCCGATTTGCCCTCTCTTGCACGAAAGCTGTGAAGCTTCCAAACCACCACTGTTGACAGCATCACAGGAAATAAGTCACTGCAGAGCGGTGTTCCCTAAGGCGTGAGACCAGCAGAGTGTGTCTGTTGTACTATCTGTGTTATACAGCAAGAGTGTTTTCCCACTGCTGCACATGAACCTTAATTTATGCTGTATTTAAACATTCGTACTGGAAGGCTGGCTCTCAGAGGCTCAGAACAGCTGCACCTCCGGCTGAATCCACTGAAGTCAGCTGGAGTTGAGGGTGGTGTGAATTTTCTGCCTTCTAGTTAGAGCCCTAATCATGTTGTTGAAGTCCAAGTTTGGCTGCAGTGTTAACAAGCTGTCTGCAGCAGCCAGGCTGGAAAACTTGCATGAAGGGCAACAAATCTAAGTATTTGTGCTCATTTTATTATTAAATTTTGGTAGCTTTGTTGATGAGCTGCACAAGTATAGAAACAGGCAATTACGTGCTACCTTTCAGGTCATCAGTCTTCTATATTTGCAGGCTACTGTGTTGTGGATATCGGATCCAGAAGGAGCATCCTACTTGATGCTGGACACTTCTATAAAACACACCTAAACCTCCTACAATGAACTGAAGATTGGTGGTACCCAAACCAGAGCATAGCACAGGGTGACAGCAGAAGGGAGATGGTTGTTCATCTTCAGAGTTCACAGTCAAACTTGCAGATGTGTGTGTGACAACTAAAGATCAGTCATGAAAACAGGAACAGAAGGGGGAAAGGCAGAGTTGGTGTATTATTTCTGTAACAGCAGAAGCTCACAGTTGAGTTTTGGGTGCAGGGAAGCTATGGTACACCCCGAGCCTTGTGGGAGAAGGCTGATGCCCCAACCAAGAAGACTAAATCACGGGTAGGGCAAAATATACGTAATTATTTCCTCCTTTACTGTCAGGAAACCAATTACAGCCACAGTTCTTGTTGAATAGTGTCTTGCAGATTTAATGAATGTTTACTGTACCTGTAGATGAATTCTCATAAGCAATGTTGGTATGGGTATCTTCTTTGAGCATTTCTGGAATGTGTCTGCTGAAAAGATAGCATTAAATTTGCATATTCAGGGGAAAAAATGTAATTGGGCATATCAACAGTTTTCATTGGCAGAGAAGTAGATGTGTTGAAGTGTGATGGGTTTTACAGAATACGCCCAGTGCTTGGGGGATATTTTACTGTCATCAGTGTAGGCCACTTCAAAACGTTGGCTGTGAAGCTGGGATGACACATGCCTTTATTTCTGCATGTGATTTCTGCCTGCTTGGGCTATTTAAGGTTCTAGGGCAATTAAGAACTAAGTGTAGTTAAAAATGGTTTGAAGCAATTTCTAGTATGTTCTAGGTCTATACTACTTCGTTAGTTCCAGCATTCATGCTAAAATAAAATAGCAAAAAAGTATTTATCATCTTTGTGGTATTTTTTCCTTTTTGGAAGTTAAGGTCTTAGCGTATCAATCATTGGTATAATTTTCAACATGAAAAGTAAAGGACTTTGTAATAGGCATGTTTCATGGATTTCTTTCTTAGACTTAGCAGTACAGGCAATGAGTTTGGAAGAGCTCTGCCAGGAGGGTTCTCACCACCCTCTGTGTTTGGGTACTGTGTTTCATAGGACTCATCCTTCACATCCTTACCCAACCATGTTCTCCTGGTCTTTCTGAGGCTTTTTCACTTTTCACACCCCAGTTCCTTTCAAGAGGTTGGCTAAGGCCTGGGATGATTGTTTCATGTCAATTTGGTTTTGAAAAGGTCACCTCTCGCTTGAATTTCTGTTGTTCCTAGCTTGGGAGGTGCTCACCCTGTAGTAAGCTCCATGTTCACTGTGTCACAAGTGTCACCCATCCTTGGGATGGGCTTCCCCTCATCATTACACAAGTATAATTTAACCTGACACATCACAATACTTTTTAATAGCTGGCCATGCATGACAAGGAGACAATATCTCTGCAGCTTGGACTGCCAAAAGGCCATCATGTACATGCAGTGCACAAGGCATAACCAAGTTCTGCTTCCATACTGATAGCTTCAGGGCAAAGGTTTTAATTTTGTTTGTAGTTTGGTTTTTTCCATTAACTGATCTCATTTACTGAAGAACGTAGTCTGAGGAGGTAGGTTTAACACAGTTCATGTACTGAGGGAATTTTTTACAGAGACTGGTTGGATGGGTGGAAACGGGCTATTCTGCTAAATCTGTAAGTTTTGTTAAATAAGCTTCCAATAAAATCGGAATGTACAAGGAAACGATTTATTGTTGTCCAACTGGAAACAAAAGAAACCCTTGACTCCAGCCTGTACAGTGCAATGTTTTGAAGACTTTTAAATCACACGTGTATTTGGGTTGAAGAACTAATGGTTCTGTTTTCTTTCTTGATGTATTTTGGACCATGTTTCCTTTTCTCTGTATTTTTTTCTTTCCAGACTGCTGCGGGAACAATGGATCAGAGCCAAATACGAACGGAAAGAGTTCATTCACAGTGAGAAGCAGGAGCCTTATTCTGCAGGTAGTGAAAGATATTTTTGGCAAATAAGTCTTTTGATGTCCAGCACCTTCCACTTTTTGGTCTCTGTTTATATGTTCTTTATATTCATTATTGCTTCTATGTCACTAAATAGGAGGAGAAAGTGTGTTCTTTTGGGAAAAATCCCTCCTGACATTCCCTTCTTGATTGGGAATATTGAGAATTTTAATACCCAATGGAAATAAATCAGTCTTTCTGTTGACTTCCATGGGCTGTTAACCAACAGCAAATCAGATAAACTATCAGTGAGTTCAGTTCTGGTAGTGGGAGGCATGAAGCTGGATTGAAATGGAAATAGGGATGTTTGTCTCATCAGGGTGACTTTTGCTTTGGAAAGATGCAGTAGGATTATTAGCATAGATGCTGGGTAAGTGTGCAGGTCCTCCATAATTCCCAAATTTCTGTTACCATCTTTCCACAATACTTCCAAGTGTTGTCAGTGGGACCTGGTCTCTTTGTAGTACAGCAGATGGACAGTGTTTTGCAATTGCAAAGATGCAGCATGTGTGACAGTACTCATTTTAGCACTCCCAGCACAATGGGTAGAATGACAGTGGCCTTGCAAAGGACTGGTTAGTAGAGCAGTGGATTGGATGATTTTCTTGTAGAAGGGCAGGATTTGAAGAGGAATCACAGGGCTTGACTGTGTCCATTGTGTGGCTGTACCAGCAAAGAACTGGCATGAAACTGCATGAAATGAACTGGGTATTTCTTTACTATATGTAAGTGGCATTTAACTTATTCTGCATATTAAGTGATGACACCAGCTATATACTTGAATGACTCTGGGATAATTTTATTAGCAAAGACCATGTTACAGATTAAAGGTTAAAATACTATTTTCACACTGCTTTTCAAGACTAAAAATCATAGAATCATATAGGTTGGAAAAGACCTTTAAGATTATCAAGTCCAACTGTAAATGTAGCACTGCCAAGTCCAGCACTAAACCATGTTCCTAAGCACCACATCTTTTAAGTACCTCCAGGGATGGTGACTCCACCACTTCCCTGGGCAGCCCAGTGCTTCCTAATAAGCAGGTAACTCCAGCAGTTTGCTGGTTATTAAAACCACAGTTAGAATCTTACCTCATATATTCCTAATTTATGTTTAGAGTATTTCTGCTCTGCTATTTTGTATACACGAGGCATGCGCATAGTGTGTGTGGGGGTATCCATATTCACACGTAGTACATTATGCACATTTTTATTTTAGATTTTCAAAGTGGTCTGCTGGAGTTGGACATGTGCTGTTAACAGTAGTTTGATTTCTTAGGTGATTTTGAAATGTATCTGCCAATATGTGTATAACGCTCACCCAGGAATAATGTTTCCAATTTCTACTGTGCAACTTCTGGATATAGAAGCTTGGAATCAACTAGATACTTCAGGCAAATGCATGATTTTGAGCATGATTAGTCCTTTTGACTCCAAGAAGAGTGTGTACCTGGTTAAAGAGAAGTAGGTGCTTCAGTGAGATGTTTCTATGTGCATTGGGGCAGTTCTTGAATCGCTCAGGTGAAACAGGGGGTGTTTCATCATTGTGTCATACATGTCGCTGGACCACCAGTTCGCCCAGCTGGTGTAAACCAGTGTCATTGAAGCTGATCTGAACCATACTGTCCATGAGCCCTCCAAGGCAGGCTGGTAATTGGTGCTTGCTGAAGCTCAGCCACATCATACGTCCCAGTTCTGTCCTTCTCGCTGCTTGCAGGGGTCCGTACAGCTTAGTGGCCACACCAGTGGCTTGGAGGGTGCACCCTGTATGGGGTGGACCTCCTGTGTCTGATTATACCAGGCTCAGCGTGGTTGGGAACCACAGAGGATCTGGGCCATTGCTTTCCACTAAGGCCCTCCTAAACTGCCTGTGAATGCAACAAGGCGGGACGGAAACAAGGACGCCCTCCTGCCCGCATCACATCCAGTTTGTGTCTCAATGTATGTGTATCTCTCTCTTTCTAATGATGTCTTAGACCATTTTTTTCTTGCCATTCTGACTTCCCCGCAGGGGTGTTAGATTACCAGTTTGCAAGCATGAACCATTTTGTTGCTAATAGAGACGTCGGTACCCATTTTCTCATGTTTGTTGGAAGATTTAATTCCATTTTCCAATCCCAGGGGCAATTTTGCATTTTGATATTTGTTCCATAATTGCATATAAAAAAATGAAACGCTATCTTTGAGTAGTTTTGAGCAACACCCTTTTCCAGGCAGCCTGACGAAACCCTGGTCAGAAATTCAATGTCTTTCAGAAAATCCTTTGGGGAGAGACTGTCTGGAGCCTGTAGATGCCAAGCAGAAGCTATCACAGCCAAACTGACAAACTTAGGAGAAATGAGTCTCGGGACAGGAGTGTCAGATGTGCAGGTCAGAGCTGAGATAGTCATACAGGGAAGCTTGGTAGGAGGATGCGGCAAACTTCAGCTGCTGGTGAAGAGTATAAATAAGAGGCAGTGTGGGACGCAAAGGCAACAGCTGTCACAAAAGGTCTTGCATAGCCCTCAAACTGATGGGAAATGCCTGCCTTGTGAGTTACAGAGCAATGCAAGGTAGCAGAACCTGAAGTCGGAAACAAAGACACTTTGCACATGCAGAAATCCCCGGTGTGGGCAGCAGTGAGTACTGAAGCCAACTCTTGAGCCTTACCCTAGAGAAGAGCCATGGCTGTAGGTCCATGGGTCTTGGTTCTGTCCCTGCATCAGATGTTCCCTCTCAGGGATGTGCTGTTACACATCTAGTCACAGCCACTTACCCTTCGTAGATGATTGCAGTGGGAATTCATGTAAGGGAATTTTTAGAGAGTTTCTTGCTCCCCCAGGAAGCCTTGGAGCACAAGCCCATGTGCTATTCACAGCTTTCAGCTCCTCTGCCCCCAGTTAGTTTTTCAGACTCTGATGGTTTCATTCCTCCGAAAGAGGCATTGTTAATGAGTATATTAGAACCATTGATTTAGTGTGAGGAGTCGGGTTGAGTTCAGATAGTGCAGGGAGATTAGATAAACAGTGATTAAATGTTTCGGTGATCCACTATTGATTCTTGGATACACCCTTTTATACATTTGAGCTCTTAATTCAGCTGTAGTACAAGAGCTAAATACTTTGTTTGCCCTAGCCAGAGTTTATGAAACAAAACATTATTTACACCCCAGCAGTCCTGTATAACACCATGGTCCGTGTCCCTTCCGCTAGCAATACATGTGTTGCACCACAGCACAGAATGACAGTTTTAAGGCCCTTACATGAACGTATTTCAGATTGGCTTTGTCCCTTCTGATAAATGAACTGGCTAAATTACTGTCTGTCACCAGCTAATTATCCCTTTTAACAGAGTTTAATGGGGCACAGGTGCTGAATTCTCCTAGAAACAGAAGATGGTGGTACTTGCTGTCAAAGTCTGGATCTGGGTCTCAAGGCAATCAAAAGGTTTGATGGTTTTTAAAAAGATTTTGATCAGTTTTAAAAAGCTTTTTAAAGGGCACTTTTCCATGCCATTAATAGGCAGCAATTAGGGCAATGCTTC